CACTCCTCCCCCACCACTCCATCCCCCACAGCCATCTCCTCCTGTGCCACCTTCCCCTCCCTCCTAGATTGTAAGCTCGAAAGAGCAGGGCCCTCGAACCCCTTGTGTATTGTATTGTTACCATCTTGTCTCATGTTCTGCCCCCCTTGCTACTGTACAGCACTGAGCATACCCTTTGGTGCTATATAAATACTGTATAATAATAATAATTCAGTCTTCTGAATGCTGGGGTTGGGACGGTCCTGCATGCCACCTATCCTGGATTGTGTGGCTCGCTAGTGTCACACAGGCTTTCAATGGAGACTACAATCTGCTCTTCTAACACAAATTAACCACTTGCCAATCATGCTATAGCAAAAAGACAGCTACAGCTTGGTTTTCCAGTTCTGGGTGGACATTCATTCCTCCCAAGCGCCCCCTGGGGTGCACAACATGCGTGTTCTGTGACTGCTGTGTTTTTTTTTTTTTGCACATATCGGTCACACAGATCACTGTAAAGTCCAATCACAGCAGCCCTATACCATGTGATCAGCTGTTCACACATAAACAGACTTGCCGGTTATTGGCATTTCCTTTCTCTCGCGCATACAGCGTGTGAAGAAAGGAAAGCATAACCAGCTAGTCTGTCACTACGTTGTTCACACTGATAATCGGGGCACCTATTTTGGTCTTTCCTTTTTTTTTTTTGGTTTAGCAAAAAATATTTAATCACCACCAAAAGAGAGCTCTATTTATGTGAAAAGAATTATACAAATTTCATATGGGTAAAGTGTTGGATGACCGGGCAGTTGTCCTTTGTAACATGTGACAGTGCTCAAAGCTGGAAATTGGCCTGACCAGGAAGGCGGTGAAAGTGCCCAGTATTGAGGTGGTAAAAGAGGTTGTAACACAAATTAAGGAGGCATGGTCACCATCAGGAAAACCACTTGGTGAAATGGCATGATGTTGGCTGTATATGCTATTGCTATGTATGAGAGAGCCATGATATTCTGGGTGTTGTCAGGTGTTGGTGAGGCAGCGGATCCTTGGCGCTGAATGTGCTCTACATGGGCTGACTTGGCGCTTACATAGGACTCTTTGATTTGGTCATGGATGGTGAACAAAGGGCTGGTAGATAATAGATGGGAAGTGGTAGTGGAGTGTTGGTGGGCTATTAATTTTCCCTACAAAGGCACAGTACAGGTTCACTCCTCCACTCCTCCCATAACAGCGGGAGAGTAGAAGGGTGTGCCACAGCCTTACTGGCTTTTAGAAAATGGCTATTTATTATTATTATTATTATTATTTATTATACAGGATTTATATAGTGCCAATAGTTTGCTCAGCGCTTAGAATATTACGGTAGACAATACAGCAACAATACAGTTCAATACAAGAGGGTTAGGAGGCCCCTGCTCCTTGTAGCTTACAATATACAAAAATACTTCAGCAGAACCTCTTCACAAAAACTGTGGATAGAAATGTATTTAGTGCTGACAATTTATTCAGCGAGTTACATATTGTAAATTTACGTCAGTCCTTGCCATCAAGGAGCATACAATCTAAGGTTCTTATACATGCATGCATGGGTACGCAGGTGCTGCTCAACCATAGCAGATTTGCAGGGGGAGAAGTCAAGAAGAACCGAATTCGTCTATGGTTTCCTGGGTCACAAAGGATGGCACTTATTGTGACTCTGGCTGGCATCTTGGGTCACAATCTATTTTTTTTTGTTAACAAACGATTTTATTGTACATGAGTAGACAGTAAAACAGCACATTTTTAAAGTGATATCGTCAAAAAAAAACAAGGCATTTTTGAAAAGTACATTACATAAAATTGTATTAACATAAAGAAGATGAAAGAAAAGAAGAAGTTACGAGTGCATGAAATACGTAAACGATAAAGTAGGTTGAGTGATACATCTATCAACAGTATATGTCAGCCAGCTTTTACTGGGAATGTTGTTAAGCATGCAATAAATGTCTCTACAATCTCTCCATGACTCCCATTTTTTATCGTTTATAAGTGCATCTTATCCAATAGGGTATAATGAATGCGGTCCATGAGCATTACAGTATCAATTCTGTGTAGAACGGAGTCCAAGGGCACAGCATTGGACCTCCAATGTAAGGCAATAGACCATAAAATGGCAATACATAATGTATGTATCAATCTCAGATTGGCATCTGAGACCCCTGGGATATGGGGGGTCACAATCTATTTTAAGACCCTGGCTCCCACATTTTGGCACACATTTCGCTTGAAACTAGAGTAGGGACAGGTCACCAGTCTGTCGGGGACAGTGCTTACCATCAGTGAGAGGTTTCTGAGGAGTAGGGAAGATCCAGGTTTATGCCATCCTTTCTAGAAGGCTCCCCATTTTTGAGCATGGAAGTACACCAGAGTACCTGCAGCAAACCCATGCACGCACAGAGAGAACATGCAAACCCCATGCAGGTAGTGTCCTATATGGGATTTGAGCTGGGGACTAGAGTGCTGCAGAAGAGCTAACTACTAATACTCATTTAATAAAGTTTGGTTAAACTGGTCACCTGATTACTGTAGGTCTCTATATATCTTTTTGCATTTTCTGGTTTCCAACATTATATGGCCATCGAAAGATTGTGACTGCACTGAATGGAGAATAAATGACCACCAGGTTGGAAAATGCCTTTATAAGCATCCATATTAACAAGACCAGTAATCTCAGGATAAAAGCTATTGCTGCTGAGTAAATTTCTGTTATTTGCGCATTAATACGTTGCTCATCCTGTGTTCCGCCAGAGAAGGGGGGCATGTCGGTCAGACTGCTTCTCTTTCAAATCCCATCCAGGTTGCTAAGCAGGATTGTGGGAAGATAAGCGTCTGTGTGAAGATTTGGATTTTCTTGGTCAGAAAAGGAAGGTTAGAGATTATGTAGGTCAGTGATATTTGATAAGGCGGAGAACAGGAAGAACTTATGCAACCTTCTTACTGACGTCTGCAGGTTAAATTATTCATCTTCTCTTTCCATTGGAAATATGGCTTAATTTGTTGAGCTGACTGTGCTTCTGAATGGTAGCTGTGTTGATATTGCCAGTAGCATTGCTACCAGTATATACATTACATCCGTTCTGGAGTCCTGGGCTCATTTCCAACTGTGGCTCCATATGTGTGGGGTATTGTACTTTCTTGTAATATGCAACTCCCCCCCCCATAACTGACAAATTTAATGGATACCAGTTAACCTAGTGCTTGAATGACTGACTATGCTTGTTCTAGGTCAGTGAGCTCACTTAGTTGTGGAGGATGTATTGGGGTCTAGTGGGTCACTGACACGACACAAATGTGAAGCAAATAAAATTTTAACGTCTTAACACTCCTGCTTGATTATTTCAATTTGGCAAGGATGAAGTTGAGAGCCCTGAGGACTTCTCCAAAGTCAGCAGTCCAAGAGATTTAGGATAGAAGATACAGTACATCACACCAATGACTGAAAATTGGAATATTTTTGTTTCATCATGATATAACCAAAGGAAACCATCCAAACACATTTTGGTGGTTCTAGGAGATGTCCTTTTTATCAGGGCTCAGTATACAGGATTGGATTGATGTGAAGTGATGCCAAGCTTGAAGGAGTTAGACTACTGGAACGCAGACTTCAGCACAGCTTCACTCTAGCACATGAAGTGGGTCTATTAGTGTGATCGAAATGTGTTGGCTCATTTCTATTGGTTATTAAAATATTAGACTCGTAACCATTGATTTGATGCTGCTTCTTTACTAAATCTCTTCGATTTTGTCTGAAGCAGCCGCCTAATCCAAGTCGCTGCACTCCCCAATATAATCCACTCCATACTGCTATAGTAAATGCCTAGGATCTAGCTCTCAAACCCATTCCCTTTCCTTTTTAATCCCAATGTGGGTAACTCTTCTATGTTGTGCAGACCCCTGTTTGCCTGCTTTGCACCCAATGGGGAATACAACCTGGGACAAACAGCAGTTTCTCAGTCTCTCCACTCAGTAACCAGATAAAAGTTTATTTTTGGGTTTATTGGTTGAAGAACTGGAATGGGGAATAGGGTGAGCCTTGGTATACTCCAGAACTAGTGCCACTTGAACTGAGGATGCTAACATCTTCACACAAAGTAGGCCTCTTGTGTATGAAAACATGGGCATACAGCTTCAAGTGATCCCATACTGGAAACATCCCTGAACCAGCAGGATCTCACTCAGGCCTTTACTCACTGTGTCCTTGTATATATGGATGCCTTCTTCCAGCATCAGCCAGACCTTGTACTGTGAGCCTCCCAGCCAGATCCTCTGCAGGCTTTACTTCAGACTGTTCTAGCTTTTAAGAATCCGCCTCCTGGCTCTCCCTTAGCTTGGACTGCATTGATCCACCTGTAGCTCCACTGGATGGTCAAGGAGGGCAAACAGCTCCTCCAGCCTGGGTCTCTCTCCACCAGGCAAAGGACCCTGCTGTTCCAATCCCCAGACTATTTATGCACACCTCGGCCCCCTGCTGATCACTCTTCTGACCAGGGGTTGGCTGAGACTGCATAAATATTCTGGCTGCCAATTTGGTTACTCCACACTTATATTCAGAACCACATAGAGAGTTCTGGAATGCAAGGAGGAGCAATCAAACTTGCAACCTGTGAAACTCAACGGCAATCAACTTGCTTCTCTGGCTACAGAAGAGTCCAAACTAAATTTACCTAAACCTACTAGCACCTAACCAGGAGGGTCCTACATTTTAATTCCCTTAAGGAAGTTCACACTAATCTGGATTTGAATGGAGGGTAGATGTGCAACACATCAAAATAATGGCATGCAAGCGCATTGCACTGTTTGGGTTACCATGCGTTTGCATAGCTTTTTCAGCATGTGACTGTGGCACGCCAATGTGAATGTGCCCTTCGTCTTTCTTCTAACAATAGCTTTGTTATATTTGGTATGTTTGTTTGTTTTTACATGGGTCTCTGTATGCTCACAGGCCTCAATTTGTCTTGCAGGACAGAGTGGTGGGCGATGGGATGGAGCAGGACCAGTATGAAGCTCGCCTCAAGGAACTCTTTGACAGTTTTGACACCACTGGAACAGGGTCTCTGGGACAGGAAGAGCTGACAGACCTCTGTCATATGCTCCAACTGGAGGAAGTGACCCCCTCTCTGCAGCAAGCTCTACTCCAGGATAACCCGCATGGCAGAGTAAGAGTCGAATCACATGACCATAATGAGCTGTGACCAGGGGGGAGGGTTGGAGAACCAGACTTGGGGTGGCCGGCATGCCAGCCTTAAAGGGATGAGTGATGATGCTTTTCATCTGCTGGCGTCTGCCTACATATTATTCACGCAGGACTATTAGAGCGGTCACGAATGCTCATTCTTCTCTGTGATCACCAGAAAATGTCATTTTGGCACTGGGGAAAAAAAAAATCATTTATTCCAATTAATTTCTGAAGTCTTTTATCTCAAACCTGATAACACTGCTGAATAGAAGGGGAGAAAAAAATGACCTATAATGGTATTGCAGTATTTTGGTGGGATAGGAGAAAATTATAATTTACAATACTCATTAAAGGCTCATCACACTCAGGTGGTCTGTTGTACAATAACACATATATCTTAATGTGCTTTAAGGCAGCCTATTCATTTGTTTTCTTTGTTTGTGCTGCCAATGTGCCACAACCTGCGGTTGTACATGCACTATTTCCTATGCAGTGCACTTACTATGTGTTGAGCCTCGCTGCATTGATGATGTGTTGCTTTTAACTGACTATGCACCAGTAGAGTTTTATTCAAACAATCCTACAAAAAGTCTGAAAAATCATTTGTCAGTGAATTTGATCTTGCCATCATGGAGTCCTCTAATTGCATTGGAAAGCCCTTCAAATTTCATTCAAACCTGCTACTTGATGGAATCCTAGACATACTGTATGAAACAGGTTTCTTTTTTGTTCCTAGAACGTGTGCATTACAATTTATTTTTTTTCCCCCGCAGATGGCAAACCGCATTCAGTTTTTTATTCATTTTGAGAAATGTTTGTTTTGAAAACCATCATTGTTTTGACCCCAGTAACAATTAGAAAACTGAAAACATTTTTCAAAAGGGAAACATTTCAAATTAAATTCTACTGGTGTATGGCCAGATTTTGTTTGGGGGCAGGGCTGGATTTACATCTCAGGAGTCTGTAGGCAGAGAAATTCTGAAGGCAAACCCCCCCCCCTCCCAAATAATCAACACCCTGACTCCTAAGCAGAACTTCCTTCTGCAAGTTAAAATTCTCCCTGAACAAAAAATGCAAAACTTCCCCATCCTCAGTTGCCAAATCCCCCTCCCTACATATATCTTTACCCCCCAAATCACACCATCCAGCTCAAATCACCCCTCCTAGCACACATCCTATTTCCTTCCAAATCTACCCTCCTATAAATTCTCCCCCCTCCTAACACAAATCCTTTCCCACTAATCCCCACTCGCAGCGTAAAACCCTCCCCCCAAATTCCCCATCCTAGCATAAGTCCACTCAAATCTGTCTTCTTAGCACAACCCCTGCAAATTACCCTTCCAAGCACAATCTTACAGAATTAGTGAGGAGATGCGGACACTCTGTGTCCTCCCCAGCTTGACCCCCCCCCCCCCCCACACCCCCATGAAAATTGTACCCACGCAACGCCATCTAAGTGCAGCAATAAAAACAAATTTATTTCCACAAAATTGGCAAATCACAATAGTAGTAGTTAAATGAGCGCTTGTCAAACTGGTGCAACTCCTGGCCGGTGCCACTGCAGACAGGTCCAAAGCACTGTCCTTGGCTGTGCTAGTGGTTCCCAGTACTTCCAGGTTCAAGTGGATCCTCAGGGCAGGCGGGAGTGATGTCAGCTCCAGGTACAACAGCAGTAGGCATGGCATGCGTTCAGAGCATGGATGCTCCTTCAGGCCATAGAGGGGGGTAAGTATTGACAAGTTCTAGTGGTGCTGTAGCACCCAGCCAACTCATGGAAAGGCTCAAATGTCATCATAGGTTGGTACAAAAAATATATCAAGCCTCCCTCTCTTAAACTAATTAGACTGAGCGCTCTTAAATTTAAAATGCAATAAATAAAATAAATAAATCCCTGGCAAGTTTTTTTGTGTTTGCCATACTTATCCAGTTTTGGCAAAATTTTCCTTCACTTCTTATCCCATAGCCAAAACAGAAAATGAGAGGAATCTCTTCAAAATGAGGGAATCCCAGGTTGTCATCAGAATGATCGTGCCCATTAGAACAAGGTTTCTCAACCAGGGTTCCGTTGAACCCTATGGTTCCTCCAGAGGTTTGCTAGGGGTCCCTTGAGCAATTTCTGCCTTTCAGATAAGTTCCCACTGACACCATTGATCTTTTTAGCTATCTTTAAGGGGGTAATTCTTCCCAGTAACTACAAGCATAAGGAGCATTCTTCCCACTGGTCATCACATTGATGTATCATGAGTTGTAGATCTAATAATTTTTTAGCAGGGGTTCACTGAGACTTGAGTTCTCTTAGGGGTTCCTGTCTCGAAAAAGTTGAGAGACTGCATTAGATCTCCTCCTCTCTATTCCTGTTCTGGTGACAACTCAACATTTGGGACCTTCCTTCACTCTTGGTGATAATGATACAGGAAAAAATACGGTGAATCTGCTGTACCTAAGGCCTGGTTCACACCAATGTGATTTTTTTTTTTTTTTTTTTAGTGCTTTTTGCAGAAACGCACTACAGTCCATTTAACATTATTTGCTATGGGACACGTTCACATCTATGCTTTTTTGACCTCCCTCCTAGGGTGTAAGCTCGAAAGAGCAGGGCCCTCGAACCCCTCATATACTGTTTTGTTACTGTATTGTCTCATGTACTGTCCCCCACTATAATGTACAGCGCTGAGCAAATTTTTTGGTGCTATATACTGTATAATAACTGCTGCATTTTTGGAAAGGGTCAGGGACGTAAAAAAAAAAAAAAAAAAAAAAACACTTCAAGTCTGGACACTTTTACCCCCCTCCTGTCCAGGCCAATTTTCAGCTTTCAGCGCTATCACACTTTGACAATTGCACGGTCATGCAACACTGTACCCATATGAATCTTTTAGAATTTTTTTTTTGAGAGATAAAAATTAAATTTTTTAACTTTATTGGCCAATCCGTGATCACATGATCGGGACTTCACACAGAGGTCCTGTACAACGATTGGTGCACAGCTGGCACCGGATCATGGTGCTGCGTGCTCCCAGGGAGTGAGGAGGACGTTTATAAACGGCCTCCTGCTCCTGCACTGCTCCCATCCAGCCGTTTATATACATGGGCCGGACGGATGGGAAGTTGCTAAATACAAAAAGCAGCAGTGTTTTTGCATGTAGTGCTTTTTTACAGCGTTTCGTGTTATTCTGCCCAGCAACAAAAAAATTTCCATTTTAACAAAGGGAAAAAAAAAAGCTGAAAAAAGTGGCAAAAACACACTGCAAAATAGACAAAAAGCACAATGCATTGGTGTGAACCGGGCCTAATGGCGGCACAGACTGACAATAAAAAAAACTTGACAGGGGTTGTAATCCATCTCCACTCTATCTATGCATGTCTTAGAGGCACCTTGTTTTCAAAGCACAGTTCTGTTCTTCAAATCGGAGCTTTAAAATTTCCCTAGCTAACTTTAAATTCAACTGCACTGCTTCGCAAGTCTTCCATCTACGGCCAATACTGAGCTGATGTAGAACCGATCAACACATTGGGAATACATTCTAAGAGAGAGAAAGCTTTGGTCAGATTCTATTCGCATCCATTCTAGGAAGGATATGGCTCAATTCGGACCATAGCATCAAGGTTCATTTAGTGGGGGAGGGGAGCTGTAAGCAGATCCTCCTTCTTTTTTTTTTTTTTTTTTTTTTTTTTAAAGGAAGTAGAGGAAACGGGAAGTAAAGTATCTGCTAATGTCACCAACAGATGAAAGATCATTTTCTGGTGATTCATTCTTGTATATCTGTAAAAGCAGCAGCCATCTTGCTGATATCGCAAGCAATGCTGTGTAGAAGTACAATGGAATGCTGTGAAAGGCTGCATCTATCTATGCATCGGGCTCTCTTAAAGCTGCAGTGCCTTATGAAGTTACCAACCCCCACACGCCTGTCTGTGTCCTCATTGTGTTCTCTTTTTGGGACGAATGCATATTCATGAGATGTCATGACAAATGTTGCCGCTTCTCTTGCTGAGGGCTGACATGTCTGGAAACAAAGAGGCAACACTGACATCTAAATTGCTGGATTGGCTGAACGTTTTGTTTCGGGAAGAAAATAAAGTGATTTGTAACTCTGAAATAGTACTGTTGTCCCCCCCCCCCATTCTATTTTTTTTTTTGTTTTTTTTCCTTTTGAGTGTCTTTTTTTGTTTTTTTTTTTTTTTATGGTAAAGTCTCAAATCCTGCTCTTAATCTTTACAGTGTGCAGGGGCCCTTGTCACAATGTTCCGGTCTCAGGGGACTCCTGTTAAAAATGACGATATCTACAACTCTAGATACATTTGTGTGATGGTCAGTGGGAAGAATTGCACAAAAATATGTATCAAAATTGAGCCAATGAAATAAGTGAAAAATTAAATGCTGCTGTTCAAGGATTGACTAAACATCAAAAAATAATAATAAAAATAATACAGTACAAATAATCAAAACTGTGGAAAATTTATATGTGAAAGTCCAAAGAAAGTCCCAAATTCACATAATTTTCCACAATTTTTGATTATTTGTATTAGCGCTGTATTTTTATTACAATGGGAAGAAATTGCCTCCTTACAGATAGGTAAAAAGATCAATGGTGTCAGTGGGAACTTATCTTGGAGGCAGAAATTGCCCTAGCAACTTCTGGAGGAACCCTAGGGTTCTATGGAAACCTGGTTGAGAAACCTTGCTTAACAAGTGTGCTTCATCTACTTTCGAACAAAGTCCCAGCATGCGCTACCAATCTGTAGTCGATCCTGTGGTCTGTACTCCTAATGGGTAACTCTTTGACCTCAAGACCCACGGTTTTTAGGTATATCACGAAGTCTTGGGGGGTTCCTATCCCTGTATTGAGTTTCTCCTCCTCCTCTTCCTCTTCCCCTCCCCTCCTCCCGTCTTCCTCCTCCTCCTCTTCGTCTTCCTCCTCCCCTCTTTTTCTTTCCTCCTCCTTCCTCTTCGTCTTCCTCCTCCTTCTCTTCTCTTCGTCC